TGTAATCATTTAGTTGGGCCAATTATTTATTTAGTTCTTCCTGCTAGACATTTATCGTGTCCCTATATTATCCTAAATTTTAAGTAGGACCAAATATGAAAAATTGTCTGTGTAGTAAGGAGGAGGTATACATAAGAAAATAAAAAATATATTAAGTATATTTAATTTTCAACTTAAGTAAATCATTCAGGAAATTATGATTCATTAAGGCTCATACATTTTTTTTCTTTAATAATTGTAATTTTTAGTTTTTCTGTATACTCAATAGGATAAAAAAGAAATTAAATTTTTTTTTTTCATATTGTTTTTATTCTATCTGATCTCAATTTTTCACAATTTTTTTTTGTTTTTACGTCCTCTGGAAAAAATCGTTACACAGGTTTACAAAATTCTGCCACTCACAATGTTTATCGTAAGTCAATAAAACCATAAAAGATACGACAAATATACTTATTTTACCGTTTAACCGTTATTTTGACTTCAGCGCCAACAGTCGTTCTGTTCTACACGTACTTCATTGAATTTCAATCAACTTAAATGTTATTATGCATTTTAAGACTGCTGTTATTCTCTGTGCTGCGTATTTCATTGTATCAGTATGGGTAAGAAACTTATTTCTCTAAAATAAATATAGTTCACTTGAGTATGTTTCGGATATATCAATCCACTAAAGTTTTAACGCATTCATATAAATATAGTTGTGTATTAAATACATATGCAAGGTGAATTTTATATAACAGCTCTGTCACTTAAGCGTTTAAAACGTTTGACCTTAAGCTTTTAAAAAGTAACATATATACAGGGTGATCCAACTAACGTACGACACTCGTTTTCTCTGAAAGTATAAATATTTTGCGAATTTCTTTTTCCCAAAATTTTAGGTACATATTTAACTATATTTTTCAATATTTAGAAATTTTTTATCTTAAACGTTAAAGAAGTACGAACCTCGTTTTTTCAAATGGAAAAATATGTTTTAAATTCCATAACTATATAGACACAAAATCTAAAAAAATGTTAGCGTTTGAATTTTTAATTTTCATCCATTTGTTCGCTGTTCATGACTTTGTAAAGATTTGAATTTTTGTCTATATTTCTTAATAATTTCATTCGATTCAACAAAGACAAGTAGTCTTATTACGTCGGTCATCACATAAAATATAATAATTATTTGATGTTAGCGCATTCCGTATATAATAAATCAGATATAGTAAATAACCATTGTTCGTCGCCGTTCGGGCATGTAAAGTTATAGTCAACTATAATTATGGAGTGACTTGAGTAAATAAACTAATATTTTTAACATTAAATGTTACTAATAAAAATGATTATACAAGTTATTATTCGAAACAAAAAATTATGATATTAAAATTTAACATCCTTATTGCAATCGCGTACGTTACACATCTTGAAAATATAATTGTTTTGTTATATTTTATATTTATATATGTATTTTTTTTAGCCTTTATATATTTATAATATGAGTTCTTTTTGGGTCATATAAAAACAATTGGCGGGCTGCATGCGGCCCGTGGGCCGCAGGTTGAGTATAGCTATGTTAAATGCTAATATTTTATTTCTTCGAAGATTCCAAGTAGAAAGCAATATTTTCTTCATCTAAAAAAAAAATTGTCTACATACTTATGGAATTAAAAACATATGTTTCCATTTGAAAAAACGAGTTTCGTAGTTCTATAACGTATAAGAGTTGAAGATAAAAAAATTCTAAATATTGAAAAATGTAGTAAAATATGTACCTAAAAGTTTAGAAAAAAAAAAATTCTCAAAATATTCATGTTTTCCGAGAAAATGACTGTCTTACGTTAGTTGGATCACCCTGTATAAGCAAAGATTAGAGTTTATACAATTTTCATTAAACTAAAAATACATAACAACAATATTGTATTGATTAAATTTAATGGTGAATAATATATTGTGCGTTAAACAACAACTAAAAGGGTCTAAAGAAAAATTATAATGATTATAATAGTAAGTACGACATGATTAAGATCTGGACTCTTCCGATAGTAGCTGTTATCTAGAAGTTGTCAAACGGACAGAGCCCGCGCGCGCCAAGTTGGAATTCAAATACTGTTTCGAACAGCAAAGGTAAATTACTTTTATTTATACGAAAAGAGAGAAATTACTATAATTTCAGAAGTAATCTAAAAAGGGACAAGTTTTAGCATTTTTTCAATAGGGACTGTATTTGACCACCATGTACTTGAAGGGGGTTAGTTATCTAAATGAACGTTGCTTACTCCTATCGGCTCAGAACTCAATAAATTCTACTCGCTTCCAAATCGTGATAAAATTAAGCAGCTCATTTGAATTTAGTATATGAGTAAGGTATAAAAAAGTACGGTTAGTTGTTACAATTTTTATATTTTTCCTAAATTATTTTCTGAATGAATGTTCGTAAGTGAACATTTTAAATAACAAAAAATAATATTTTAGTTACAAATAACAAAATATGTTTTTACAAATATAAATTTCAAACTACCCGCATTGAACTACTTTTTATTTGTGTCAAAAATTTAAAAAAATAGACAAACATGAAAAAAGTACAGCTTACCAATTTTAGGTGGGAAAACTTAAAACAAAATATGTTTGCGTACTAGTTCGCAGATTGGATGTGTACAACAAGAACTTTTTCATGTTTCTTTTAGGTTTTGAAAAAAAGACAGTTCCTCTCTTTAAAGTACTACACCGAATCGGGAGCTGTTATTACCGTTTTACTTCTAAATCAAAAGGAAAATAAAATTTTACAAAACAAAGTTTGTTTATATTTTTTTGTTTACTTCACTACATGTAACCATTGTAAATATCAATTGCAAAGAAAATTATTTTTTTGAAAATTAAAAAATACCAAAAGAAATTCCTAACTGTGCTTAACTCTTCTTTAAGCTATGATGAAAACATTATAGGTTTTTGTGGTCAATTCTATGAAAAAAAAATACTTTTGACAATTTAAAAAATGACCATTGATTTGCGTTGCACATTGACATTAAAAATTGGTGGAAATTTTTTTGGAGTCTACTGGTCATCAGAATCCTAAGAGTTGTATATTTATATACAGGGTGATTCAATTCATTAATGACAAAACCATATTGTACACCCACATGTATAAATGATTTTAAGTGTTATACAGTGAGGTTTTTGTATAATTTGTTTCTAAAGTGACGCCAAGTTCAAAAATGAATAATAATTTACTAAAAACTGATCCGTGTCGCGGGACACGCGTTTGGAACGAAGTCCCTTTCATATGCAGGATTTGTACAGGATTTGTTATGAAAACTATGTGGTGCGGTTGGCGTGATTGGTTGCCAGAAGTGAGGGGTACCGGGTTCTCAAATCCGGGCTCCCCTCCCAACACTTTTTGCATTTTTTTAAAACTTTTTTTTCAACTTTTATGGTAATTTATATTGCAAGAAGTCTAAAAACTTATAAAATATTTATATTGTATGACTATAGAATATTATATTTATATAATATTCTACACTGTTTTATTTAGTCACTCGACATTATAATTCTATTTAGGTTATGTTACCTTTAACATAATCACCATTAATATGAATTATATATAAATGAACCTGTCACCCAAAATTTGCACATTAATTTAGTAAAGGTAGAAATATAAGGAAAGTATTTGGAAGCAGAAATAAGAAGATGCAATACATCAGATAAAAAAATATAACTTTACAAATTCAGTAATATTTATTTTATTGGTAGACATGACATAAAACAGAAAAAAACGTATAATATTATGTACTTACAAAAACGTTTATTATGTGGAATATGTTATTGGAAAAATCCACCAACGGTTCTTTTTCCGTCAGCTTAAGTTTGTGTATACCATTTTACAACTTAAGATTTCATAATAAATATAGGGATAATAATAAGATAAATTATAATACATCATGGAATGAAAATGGAACTTGTGGACGTCCAAGTCGTAACTGTTCCTCGAGGAATTGTAGTGATTCGTTTATGTTAGATAAGCTTACTTCGGACCATGCGTTACCAATTTTTCTGTAATATCTTTTGGTATTATTTGTATCCGTTAAGATACATTTTAGGTCAATTGAGTCAATCTCAACTTGTTTGATGTATGACTCGGGAAATTGTGTACTCAAGTATAATCCTAGCAAACGACACTTCGGTAATAAAGAGGCTTCATCATCTACATGCTGCCCAGATTCTTAAAAATTTGAAAACTTTTTATTTTAATTTGCTTATGTTAGTTTACTAGTTATTACATTGCTTTACAGTGCAGGACACAACTATTTAATTTGTCAATACGAAGTCATAAAAAAAAAATAATACAATAAAAATGGTGTCCGTACTGTACAGCCATGATATTTGTATTACTTGAAAGTACGTGTAAGTAGATATAATTAAATTGGATAATTGCTTATAATTAAAACAGTTGTATCCTTGTATATATATTAATAACGTTCAAAAACCATACAACTTCGTAATAATATTTACCTAATACACGACGTCTGATTAGGTTCCTTAAAGCTGGAACAACATGTTGTCTTCTATCGTCTCCAAGTTGTTTCAATGATATAGATTCTACGAAAATAATTATTAAATGATAGTGTTGCAAAGAAATAATAAAACTATAAAAACTTTTACATTTCATTTTAAAGAAAATGAAAAAAATATCAACTCTAAAACACGATTTTAAAACCATTTAAGACTATAAATAAATCGTAGTTACCTCCATAAATTATTTTAGTTCGTTCTAATTCTGTAACAAATACATCAAACATTAAATTATTATGCAGTTAATAAAACCTGAGGTTAGTTAGACTATTGTAAATTATTATTGAATAAATGTTCATTCATGTCTTATAGCGATATTTAATTAAACAGATTAAATTATATTTCGAATGATTCTTAGAATCTTGAACTTAAGACATTAAGATATAAATCGACTTTTTCTTAAAAACTACAAAAATATGTAACTATTTATTTTTTAATTTTAGATTTACCTAATAGCCTTTCTATGTCTTGTCGCATAATTTGGAAGAAAAAATTGGCTTCTAAAATTAAAAACAAAATACATTTTAATGTACCTACATATTATTTATGATTGAATCCGATATGTCATATTGGTATTGGTCAATAGGTACATATGATTATTTATCAATCATATGAAGTATTTATAAATAATAAATATGCAATAAGTATGATAAATATGAAATATAAAATGGGGTTTTTACTTTGCAATATTGGAAGTAATGGAAGTTCTGAAAGTAAAATAAAAATTATATGTGTATAAATAATATCAAACAACTGTGTGGAAGCGCTTCTATAAAAAACAATGAAAATTATTACGTGGTATTGTGCGCATAATTTCCGGATGGTCTGAAATGAATAACACATTAATAATGATATTGCATATACTTTTTTATGCAATTATAAACAGAAAGACGAATGTCAAGTTAGGAAAAACATGTGTACTAAAAACTCAGAAGAAATATGCGGAAATATATGGAATATATTTAAGAATATTAAATATTTAATACGATGAGAATTTCTTTGGAGAATTCAATAGGAACGAAATATTAGAAATGTTTTCATAAGATTCAACAATGACTATTACCCGGTACAGCTATCAAAAAATTAAGTTTTCCTGAAATTACACAAATTTATTAATGATATTGATTTGCATTTGTTATAATAAGTAATTACATTATATAATTATACATTAGAAGACGATGATCAAAATAGAAAAAACTATAATTTATACTAGAGAATCCTTGTGAAATGCAATAACTGAGTTGATTTAGTATAGACAATGAGAATAAAACATTTTAATCAGACGAGGTTGAAAGAGCTATCATATTTTTTTATAGTATTTTTTTCAATAAGCTTAGTGAAAAATATAAGAATTATAACACATCAATTGCATAACGATAAACTTGAGATGCATTTTTACTATTTTCAAATATTTTTTTCTACTCTTATCTTGATATTTTTTATTATTATTATAATTATGATTACCAAAATGCCTGTATTCGAATTCTTCTACATTATCAACCATTGTCTCAATTACATGCTCCAATGCATCTAGAATAAACAAATGAAGATTATAGCTATACTAAAATATTAAAATTAAGTCATATAAGGTACCATAAAAATGTTTAGAATAATATTAAACCCGGCTTTGAGCAGTAGCCATTTAATTTCTCCCTCGATTAGATTATTAGAAATCGCTAATTTATATATTATATTTTATTGCTCTATACACTGTTCTAAATATCTAATGCACTTTTCTTAACTATTGATAAAACTATAATTTTAAATTTTTTAATAACTTAACATTCAGGTACTTGTAACACAACTTCTACATATATATTAGTATATTATTTTAAATATATCTTACTTGTTTCTGTACCATTTGTACCTTCTACAGTTAAATCATTTGCAATTGCCATGGCTTCAGCTGTGATACATAATCAAAAAATGATGTATAAAAACAGTGGATTTTGAAAACTTCAAAAAAGATTTGTTTGTAAAATAAAAATGTAACTGACTTATAGCGAAAATATATCGCATACATTTTCTCTCTGTAAAAATTAAAATATTAAAATATTTTCAAATTTAATCTACCTTTAACTGATAACTGTGAAAATAAAGTAATTACCATTTGCCAAAACACCCACGAAGAAAATAGGTATTAATGAACAGAAGAGTTTCATTTTTATCTGCGAATAATAATAAATAAAAAACATTTTATGACAGTCACAATTTCCTCCGGGTCAGAGATGAGAATGTTAAGGATTTTCAAGGCAGTTTTAATATGATAACATGTATGAAAAACGAAACTCATTGCTAGAAACAAAATATAGAAATCGTTCTGTGAACAGTATAAAATGAATCATCTTCATTTATTTAAAATTTGTATTGTGATTTTAAACTGAGTTTTCGTGATAGCAGTCGTTCAGTCCATGATGAGTAAATAGTATTTTGACAAAAAGGCGCGTTTTCCAACGAGATAAGTTCGGAATTGTGTTCAAAAATTAAATCTTATTTAACATTTGACCTATCATAAAGATAATGAGAAATTTTACGCAAAATGCAACAGTTTTATACTTAAACTCAAAAAAGTTATAAAATTAATTATTTGGCCTTTTTCAACCCCCTTGAGTCACGTGAAGGAGGTGAATCATAAGAACTCAGTTCTGCCTAAATTTTTTGTTCACAGCAATGAACAAAATGACGGAATATCTCATTGAAAAACTTTAAAAAAAAATATCTATGACTAAGGACCAAGAAATAAATCGTTATATATACAGCTAATAATAATCAATGCATACTATAACCATAATTGAATTTGTGTGATACACTAGTATCTATCTAAGTTCATGTTATGCATTTTGTGTGAGAATTGAGATAAACAAATATTGTATACGTACGCCAAAAAAATCGATTGTTCATATAATATAAAAGAAAATTTGAGCGAATGTTATATATGTCTGATTATCAGTAACAGTAATATCGATAGGGATCAATATTATTATTTAATGGCAAATAGAAGTGCTACTAATATTGATTTTAAATCCAAACCTTTACAAAGTCATAGCAAACGATCAGATAATTGAAAATTTCAAATTAAAACGCTAAATATATTTAAAAAAATTTGTTTTTTTATGGATTTTTGAAATTAAAAACATACATTCCAATTTAAAAAAACTAAAGGCAAGTATCCCCTTACGTATAGGGGTTGAAGAAAAAAATATTATAAGTATTGAAAAATGTAGAAAAATATATACCTACAAGAGTAGGTATACAATTTTTTTTAAATATGTATATCTTCCACCAGTTGGATTACCTTGTAATTTTTTACTCCATCCACAATATTTCCTAGGCCGCTAACTGTTTTTTTTGTATAGGAAGGTAGAAATCTAACTTGAAAGGTACTTTATGTGGCCAAAACTACAGTTATTTCAAAATTTAAGATGCATTGTATAAAAAAGTTAGGCTAAACTATTAAAAATAGAATCTAGAAAAAGTATTTAACGAAATGTTGTTATTAAAGTTAGACTTTATAAAGTGACATTATACTCTTAATTTTCAAGCGTCTAAACTTGACTACGCATAATGCTTCTTAATCAACCCATAATGGATTTAAAGAGTTTTTAGGGAAAGAAGATAGCTTTTTAGAGATAATGTCATATTAGTTTTAAAAAAATTTCCTCAAAAATAAAATTATTGTCGTTATAAAAAAATATTGAAATATCTTTTTAAATAGTACTCTAAGATATCCAGAAAAATTTTAATTTTATAAATCGTTTCATAATAGCTCAAAAAAGTAGCTCTTGATATTAAGTAAAAAAATTATTTCGTCGGAGTCAAAAAAGGAATATAAAAAAAAAAGATTTATGAAAGTCAAAAAAGAAGTATGATTAAGCTTTTTTTATCATAACTCATAAATAAAATCTTATTTTTAGAGGGTATTAATTTCTGTCTAATTTACGTGCAAAAATTGGGTTTTATCGTTTTGTTTTAAAATTGTCAAAAATAAAATTAAAAACTTTTAAACATGCAAAAAAAATGTTTTCTTAATTTTTAAAGTGAATATTTAAGTTTCTCTTAGAAAATTGACTTTGTCTTCACTGCAGACTAATTTATTTTTACAATGACAAAAAAAAAACAAAAAATACGGAGGTGAAAACATTTTTTTTATATATTTATATTACATTTATAATGTGTATACAATTATCATGCAAAAAATAAATTATAGGTGCTCGGTGCTCTTTAGTAAGTCAAATAAGAAAATTTATTATAAATGTTTGGAATTACGGATACTAATAATTAAATTATTAAATTAAAGAGTGATAGAACTTAATACTTAGTAATTTACAAGTAGTAAAATGTATACATTTTTATGGTTTAACATTTATTATATTTAATGAATTTTACTCAAATGATTAAGTTACGACTCTAGTTTTAATCTAATATATTAAAAGCATTTTTTAAAAGACAATGTTAGAAAATAATTTTGATTTCAAGTATTTATGACGAATTTTATTTGGAAGTCTTTAAGCTAAAATAATAGTAGTTTCCTAGAGAGTGTCTATTTAGGCAAATTTTATCATTATATTATAAACGATTCAGAAAAATATTGAAAAAACCGAATAGTTTTAAAAAAATATTATAAATTACCCTTAATTCCTCCGGTGTCAATACAGTTTTCTCTTTAGATACAGCTGAACCTGATGCTTCAGGTTGGCCTGTATGCATACAGCTAACCGCTAGGATAAAAAGTAGAAACGAAAGAGAGAACTTTAAATAAATAGTGTTAGTCCTTAAAGTATTATCTGAAGTTAAATTGCGAGACTAAACGAATGAATTTTACCATTTATGAATGCCTGTTTTATATCGAATTGAAAAGGAAAGAATAATATTATTCGAGTACACAAGTACATGAAATATGATATCTTTGAGTATTTTAGTTGTGGCCTTATTATTTAAATTGCATATTTGCACAAATATATGAATAAGTACACAAGTATATTTTCTGCTGAAAACCATACAAACGTATCGATGTCTTTAACGAAAAGGTATGTAAGTGTTTTTGCAAAATTTTTCAGAAACTGTGTATAGCAACAACAATGCATAAATATATTAACTTTTTGCCACCAATTATCAAAACTATGATTCCGTAGGTTTCAATACATATTTTAAATGTGTAGTACAATGCCAGCTATCTATTGTCATACATTAGTAATTAGCGCTATACTTTTCCTGGGTAATAATAATTCCTTATTCTGTCGAACCTTGTCATTCTGCACTTCAATATCTTACTGTAGTAAGATTGTATATATTTTGTTATGTTGGTTAGTATTTTTTTAGAGGTTTGTTAATATTGTCTATACTATTTGAGGACACATCTATATTATCACAAATTGACCTAATCGAGACACAATGGCGTTAATGTTATGACCCAAAACGTATTATCGGTTATAATATTATAGCTACAGTTACATTACAATCATTTCTGAAAACCCTTGACCTCCTCGTCCCCACTATGCCCCAACCTAACTGTACTGGCTTTTATTTTCTAACGCCTACAGATTTCTGTACCCAAATTCGGGTTTCCAATTGGTAATGTATTAGGTTCTATTTAATACTCTGAATTGTCGTTGTATGAAATTCGCTAGTATATTATAAAAAAAAAGGTAAAGCGTGTAAGCAACGCACGGCGGTTAGTAATATTTTTTTTTCATCTATTTACCTTAAATTCGTATCGGTGTGAGTCATAATAACACTCAATATTGTTGCACATAGACAAATTCAAACCAAACGACTCCTATCTGACACAGTACTTGTGTTGTTTATGTCTTTATCGATGAAAAATACTTAAGTAAAAAAAATTGTTTGCTTTTATCTTTTAATTAAACTTTTCTTAGAATTTTTTCAATCTGTAGCAAAATAAAATAAGTACTTGTTTTTAACAAGATAAATAAGAACTCGACAGTCACATTGCTTGACGGAAAAGTCCTACAGCTAAACATTTCTTTGACTTATCCGGTAGAGATCT